CCCTTCTTCAGAAATTTCTGAAGAAGGGTCTAGGCCCGAAACGTCAGCTTTCCTGCTCCTCTGATGCTGCGTGGCCTGCTGTGTTCATCCAGCTCTACACCTTGTTATCTCAGATTCTCCAGCATCTGCAGTTCCTTTAAATAATTGCAATTTTGTTTGTGCACAAGTTAGAAAACTTCCAATCTTCAATTTTCCCAATTCAAATATTTATCAATGCACAACAACTTAAACTTGAAAGTATAACAGATACAATCAAAAGTTAACGAGAAAGCTAAACCCACCAAGGCCGAAAGTAAAAGTATCTTACCTGCCGTGTGTCATTAATAAATTGGGTAATGTAGGCAACCAAATCTGTGAAGCTTTTATTTCTGAGGATGTCAATAATCATATTGATGTCAGATGCGTTATTCAGTGACTTCACAGTGAGTCCAGAGAGTTGTGATGTACTCAAGAAGTCCAGTACTTCAAACTGCAGAAAGGAAAAGCTGTTATTAAGACAAAGCTGATATTTTAGTGTCCACAAAAACAATAAGACCAGGGAATTCAAAGTTTGGCATATGTTTCCGATGGTCCACCTGGAATCTGCATTGTACATGGTGAGGCATAGATTACTTACCACAGAGAAGTTCTTGTTCAGATGTAACAATTCTGTGAAGGGAATCTGCGACATGAACTTATAAAAGTTCTTCAGTAGCCAATCACGGATTCCAGTTGTGTTAGAAGCACATGGCAAACCTGTGGAATCAATAGGGCAAAGTTCATGATTGCTACCTGTTCAAATCCACATGAGGTAAATTCCTTATACAACTATCAAACAGTACTGGAACTTAGTGTGGTCGTCTGTGATTAAAATAGTTTGCTCACTGCTGCGTATCCCATACCACAACATTATGTATTAATACATTCCAAGAAGGGAGCCAGTGAGCACCATACTTGCTAATTATTCTAGAGTTTTCAATGTCATTAGTAACTCCTTTCATACTGAAAATGTCCATGCCACTTGCAGCAACATTCAGGTTTGGGCTAGTTGATGACTGGTAACATTCACAGTACCTGGCAATGACTTCCTTCAATAAGATTGAATCTAACCATCTCCCCTTAATGATGAACAGCACTACTGTTAATGTTGAGGAATTTCAGTGACATCAGTGTCGAGCAGAAACATACCAGGATCAGCCATATAAGTGATGTGGTTGCAAAAGCAGCTCGAATGATGGATGTTGCTTTATCGCCTGACTCCGGAATAGCACAGAATTGTTACAGCACAGAAAGAGGCCACTCAGCACATGTCAACAACAACTTTAAGGAAAACAATTCCAACTTCTCTAATCTATCTTCATTGCCGAAATTCTTCATTCCTGGATCTATTCTCTGTATATCTTTTCTGTACTCCTGCCAAGGTCTGCACACCCTTCCTGAAATGTGGTGCCCAGGACTTTATGCAGTACTTCAGCTGAGACAGAGCTAGTGTCCTACACAAGTTCAACAGAACCTCCTTTCTCTTGTACTCAAACCCTCCAATAATAAAGCCTGGATGTTGTAAGCTTTATTAACTGCTTTCTCAACTTGTCCCACTATCTTCAATGACATAACGCATGTGCAGCAGTTCTCTTAGTGCTGACTCCCTGAACATCCATCCATTCCCTCTGGATGGGTCTGTGCCATATATTATACAGATAAATACTTAGTGTTCATCCATTCCTGCAGGTACTGACTCTGAGCCATTCATTCCCACTATTCTATCTTTGCTATCCCCTGCTGTTATGTAGATGCTGCATTAGTATCACAATTTCCTACTTTGCTGAACTGCATTCCATTCAAAAACTTTGAGATGAGCAAATGTAAATTGGCCATGCAGCTAAATCAAGGCCAACCTGCCACCTGATATCAGCTCCCCTGCAACTCCCTGTGGGGATTTATGAATTGTGGCGAGTGAGAATGCTGCTCGATCTAACATCTGCCAGCCTACGGGAGTCAGGTAAACTGACACTAAGATCAGGAAACTGACCATAGCTTGAGAATTAATTCTGTAATCTCTGGTCCTTAAAATATCTGGTTGCACACTTTACAATATTACACTAGATGGAAATTTGTGAAGGAGTTATGGAAGCACTTATGGGCAGAAACAAAATGAGTATGTTACCTGATAAACTGGGATGTGAATTCAAAACGTTTTTACAGAACTTGTAGATATCCTGCCACTGCGAGGGTGTGAAATTTTGGTATAAATTATCCAGTCCTTTCAATCTGTAGAGATAAATAAAAATCATGATTTCGATCTGAGAACCATATCTGTGTATTTGTCAGTTTTCTACATTTTGGATTATTTATTTTCTTATACCAGTGCCCTCTGTAATAGAATTTCTCTTCGGTGTAAACCACAGTCACACCCCACTCATAGATTTTCCCCTCAATTGTTTAGTCTAAAAAAAAGTGGAAACACAAGACAGTATTTAATGGAGGAGATGGGGGTCTCAACTGCCAACAGAGACATTGAGAGACCTGTGTCACCTCTTTCAAGTTTGATGGCGCCTGTTTTGACACCATCACCTTGATAACTTGTTGTGATCTTGCTACCTTAATTAGTTTGTACAGTTTTTGATTACTTGTCACTTTGGCTAGACCCTCAGCATGCGACTCTTTTGACCTCTCTGCCTATAAATTCTGCGCCTATGTGCTTCTCTTCACTTCACCTGATGAAGGAGCAGAGTTCTGAAAGCTTGTGTTTGTAAATATAAACCCTGTTGGACCAAAACCTGGTGTCGTATGACTTCTGACCTCTTTTGAAGTTCTTAAGTCTTGCAGTTCCTTTGTACTGATTCTCTTTTGAACTAGTTTGCAGCACTCGGAGTAACAGATTTCTTCTTTTCTTTACGTGCAACGCAGGGTTCTTACTGGCAGTTCTTAAATTGTGCCATCCACAGCATCAAGGACAGACGCTACTCCACAGCTGCCTAATGATAGCACAGATTGCTGTTGAAGGTCTCTCCTAACTCTTCTTTTTGGATGTTCTTGGAAGGGAGACCACAAAAATATCTGCAAGAAGTATCCCTCTGTCAGGAGCTTGGGGAATACGGGAAAAACGATCAGTTTCCTCACTATCCCAACTTGCTCTCCCTCTGTATGAAGTTTCTTTAACTCCTTCCATTGGCTCCACAAAGCAGTTTTGTAGGTTAACCATAGAATTTACACCAGCAAGTCAACTGTCTCTGTAGCTGTCCTCTTTCAAAACATATATCTTGGAATAAAAATGTCTGCAACAATGTGAAGAGCAAAGGATGGAAATTCTGCAGCAAGTAATTCACTCCTGACTTTCCAAAAGCTTACCTGCCACCTGTAAGGCACTAGTTAGGAGTGTGATGGAATAACCTCCACTTGCCTGGATTAGTGCAGCTTCAACAACATTCAAGAGGCCTGACATCATTTCAGGATAAGAGCAGCTCAGTTCATTGACAAATGACAAGAGAACATCAACACAGGAAATGTCAGCGCACACAAATAGTGTATTGGCAAGCAGGCTGAAGGACCTGTTGTCCCTGTCAAGAAACATGATGGAATCTGCCTCCAACCGACACAGGGCTCTGCAGGATGCTTGGAGCAAATTCATTCAGGTTGGAAAGTGAACAGTGAACCCCATGACACCACTCGCTGAAGGACACATACTGACGGCAATGCTTCAGCTTCTACGGCAAAGGTAGGCGCTATTGCAATTCAGCCGCTGCCAAGATATCCCAGAACGCACTGGCATCGCTTGCACCGGCGCCATCTTTAAAAGGCCACTGCACATTCAGACAAGCGCTGTCCGTCCAAAGCTACCCTGCACATTCCTAACATTTGCCTCAGACATGGCAGCCAAGGGAAAATCAGCTCCCGGCTTTGTGGGCAAGGGCCAAGGGGCGCTGCTGTACAGGGTAGTGTAGAGTCACCCCAGGCCAATCTTGATTCTGCCTCCATTCCTCTTCATCCTCATCCTGCAGCTGTCGTCAAAACAGGGTAACAAGGTCCGCAAGTCCATGACTGTCTGTCACAGCAAAGCATTGCACATCGAGGGACATGCTGCAATGTGTGTTGGAAGTTTCTCCCTCAGCCAGCAGAACCATTGTTTGAGAATACCTGTGACCTTCCAGGTCACTGCATGGATCTTGCAGACACGCTGTCCAAGTGTGGAGGAGTTGCACAGCAGTCTTGTGAACTACATTGTAGAGTAGGTATCCTTTGTGTTTGCCAACCAGCCCCGATTTAAAACGGCAGTAACAGCTGACTGGAACAAAATAAACACATAATACATGCTGCCAGAATCAAGGAAACTCACCAGTATGATCTGCATGATGGCACATCAGCTGTGTGTTTATTGAAACTTCATTGAATTAAGAAGTGAACAGAACCAAGTAGTTTCATTTAATGGCTTCCTACCATCAGGATTCCTTCTATTCTGGAACTGCCATGCACCTGTTTCTCCCTCCTTGTGGAGTTCCTCCTCCTGGAGTATAAGGCCTCCATGACTTGATTTGATTTATTATTGTCACATGTACCTAGGTACAGTGAAAAGTTTTGTTTTGCGTGCAGTACAGGCAGATCATAACATAGAAAGTGCATAAGGGTGATTGAACAGAGCGAGGAATACAACGTTACAGCTGCAGAGAAGGTGCACAAAGAGCGAGATCGACATTAGATTTGAAATTTAAGAGGGTCATTCAGAAGTCTAATGACAGCGGGGAAGAAACTTTTGTATCTTCTGCCTGACGTAAGAGGGTGGAAGAGATTATAACTGGGGTGACAGGGACGTTTGATGATGTTGGCCGCCTTTCCGAGGCATCGAGAAATGTAGATGGCATCGTTGGATGGAAAGCTGGCTTGTGTGACGGACTGAGCTGTGTCCACAAATTTCTGTAGTTTCTTACGGTCCTGGGCAGGGCAGTTGCCATAACAAACCTGGTTAAACCCCTAATGCATCAAAAACTGAGGGATGGTGAGTAATATTCTTGGTGCCAGTTTGGCAGGATTTTGAGGCATAGAGGTTGATGGGTATTTTGACTCATATTTCCCCTGGCAGTACCACCCTCACCCTACCCTGTGGGTTCAGTTAAGTAATGGGTATAATTCAGTGACTAACTCCTTGGTGTGGCATAGGCACCACTATGAGAGGTGAAAGAAGTGCTCTTTGAAGAGCCTGGATGGGTAAGGCATTCAGAGAATCCCTGCAGTTCAGAAAGAGGCCATTCAACACATCAAGTTTGCACCGACCTGCCAAAGAGACTAACCCCCTCACCCGTACCCCATAACCCCCTAGGGGTTTATACCATGGCCAATCCACCTACTCTGCACATGTTTGGACTATGGCAGGAAACCAGAACACCCAGAGGAAACCCACACAGACACGGGGACAACATGCAAACTCCACACAGACAGTCGCCCGAGGGTGGAATCAAATTGGGTCCCTGGCGCTGTGAGGCAGCAGTGCCAACCACTGAGCCACCGTCCCCCATTCTGTTGAGAGTGCTGCCCCAAGTCCATGTTCTGCACACAGTTCTTTGTTCCTCTGTTCTCTGCTGCCTTTACTCCATCTTCCATTCGTGCTTGAGCCCAAAAGGGACTGCAGTTATGGTCCGCATGCTTGTGAGCAAGCTATCTGATCAAAACCAGCTATCTGGTTAAAGAGATAGTAGGAACTGCAGATGCTGGAGAATCTGAGATAACAAGGTGTAGAGCTGGATGAACACAGCAGGCCAAGCAGCATCAGAGGAGCAGGAAGGCTGACATTTCGGGCCTAGACCCTTCTTCAGAAATGGGAGAGGGGAAGGGGGTTCTGAAATAAATAGGGAGAGAGGGGGAGGCGGATAGAAGATGGATAGAGGAGAAGATAGGTGGAGAGGAAACAGACAGGTCAAAGAGGCGGGGATGGAGCCAGTAAAGGTGACTGTAGGTGGGGAGTTAGGGAGGAGATAGGTCAGTCCAGGGAGGACGGACAGGTCAAGGGGGCGGGATGAGGTTAGTAGGTAGGAGATGGGGGTGGGGCTTGAGGTGGGACGAGGGGATAGGTGGGAGGAAGGACAGGTTAGGGAGGTGGGGACGAGCTGGGTTGGTTTTGGGATGCCGTAGGGGGAGGGGAGATTTTGAAGCTTATGAAGTCCACATTGATACCATTGGGCTGCAGGGTTCCCAAGCAGAATATGAGTTGCTGTTCCTGCAACCTTCGGGTGGCATCGTTGTGGCACTGCAGGAGGCCCAGGATGGACATGTCGTCTGAGGAATGGGAGGAGGAGTTGATTAGTGCGAACCGAGCGGAGGTCTTCTGCAAAGCCGTCCCCAAGCCTCCACTTGGTTCCCCTGATGTAGAGGAGGCCACAACGGGAACAGTGGATGCAGTATACCACATTAGCAGATGTGCAGGTAAACATCTGCTTGATGTGGAAAGTCTTCTTGGGGCCTGGGATGGGAGTGAGGGGGGAGGTGTAGGGGCAGGTGTAGCACTTCCTGCAGTTGCAAGGAAAAGTGCCGGGTGTGGTGGGGCTGGAGGGGAGTGTGGAGCAGACAAGGGAGTCACGGAGAGAGTGGTCCCCCCGGAAAGCAGATAAGGGTGGGGAGGGAAAAATGTCTTTGGTGGTGGGTCGGATTGCAGATGGCAGAAGTGTCGGAGGATGACGCATTGGATCCAGAGGTTGGTGGGGTGGTACGTGAGGACGAGGGGGATTCTGTTTTGGTTGTTATTGCGGGGAGGGGTTGTGAGGGATGAGTTGCGGGAAATGCGGGAGATACGGTCAAGGGCGTTCTCCACCACTGAGGGGGGGATGTTGCGGTCCTTGAAAAACGAGGACATCTGAAATGTACAGGAGTGGAATGCCTCATCCTAGGAGCAGATGCAGCAGAGGCGAAGGAATTGGGAATAGGGGATGGCATTTTTGCAGGACGGTGGGTGGGAGGAGGTGTATTCTAGGTAGCTGTGGGAGTCGGTGGGCTTGAAATGGGTATCGGTTTCTAGGTGGTTGCCAGAGATGGAAACAGAGAGGTCCAGGAAGGAGAGAGAAGTATTAGAGATGGTCCAGGTGAACTTAAGGTTGGGGTGGAAGGTGTTGGTGAAGTGGATGAACTGTTCGAGTTCCTCGTGGGAGCACGAGGTGGTGCCGATACAGTCATCAATGTAACGGAGGAAGAGGTGGGGTTTAGGGCCAGTGTAAGTACGGAAGAGGGATTGTTCCACGTAACCTACAAACAGGCAGGCATAGCTTGGGCCCATGCAGGTACCCATGGCCACCCCCTTTGTCTGTAGGAAGTGGGAGGAATTAAAACAGAAGTTGTTGAGGGTGAGGACGAGTTCGGCTGAGCGAATGAGGGTGTCAATGGAGGGGGACTGGTCGGGCCTGCAGGACAGGAAGAAGCGGAGGGCCTTTAGGCCATCTGTATGGGGATGTTCACCTGCACATCTGCCAATGTGGTATACTGCATCCGCTGTTCCCGTTGTGGCCTCCTCTACATCGGGGAAACCAAGCGGAGGCTTGGGGACTGCTTTGCAGAACACCTACGCTCGGTCCGCACTAAACAACTGCACCTCCCAGTCGCGAACCATTTCAACTCCCCCTCCCATTCCTCAGACGACATGTCCATCCTGGGCCTCCTGCAGTGCCACAACGATGCCACCTGAAGGTTGCAGGAACAGCAACTCATATTCTGCTTGGGAACCCTACAGCCCAATGGTATCAACGTGGACTTCACAAGCTTCAAAATCTCCCCTCCCCCTACAGCATCCCAAAACCAGCCCAGCTCGTCCCCGCCTCCCTAACCTGTCCTTCCTCCCACCTATCCCCTCCTCCCACCTCAAGCCGCACCCCCATCTCCTACCTACTAACCTCATCCCGCCCCCTTGACTTGTCCGTCCTCCCTGGACTGACCTATCCCCTCCCTACCTCCCCATCTACCTTCACCTTTACTGGCTCCATCCCCGCCTCTTTGACCAGTCTGTCTCCTCTCCACCTATCTTCTCCTCTATCCATCTTCTATCTGCCTCCCCTTCTCTCCCTATTTATTTCAGAACCCCCTACCCCTCCCCCATTTCTGATGAAGGGTCTAGGTCCGAAACGTCAGCCTTCCTGCTCCTCTGATGCTGCTTGGCCTGCTGTGTTCACCCAGCTCTACACCTTGTTATCTGGTTAAAGCTCTTCTAAAGTTTCACTTTGCAAAGTACAGCTCCCTACTAATTGCAAGAACTCCTTTGAGATTGTCCTGCAACACAGTATTTTCGTTAACCACAACAGCAGAGGTCGAAAGCTGCTCAACCAAGGGTTCCACGATGAAATCTTTAGAATATGAGTAGGCAGGTAGTTTAGAGGAAAGGTGAGAGGTGGGGGTTTGGAGTTTTGGTGCAACTAAACACGTGTTCAGCCAGTTTTCTGAAACGGCAGATCTGGCACTAAACCAGTGTTATTAATTGATGCGACAATCTGCCCACACCCTAGGCTTCTGGCACATGTGTGGCAATGCAACATTATTGTCTCTCCCAAAACTGTGATGGGCACAGATTCTGTCAAATGAGGACACCCTGCCATTTCTATCACATCTGGGCTCTTGCATATGAGTGCAGTTCTGCAGCCAAGATTCCTTCCACATCGATAAACTACATAATGCAATAAAACCAAGATCTAAAAACATTAATTGAATGTTATGTACAAAGTACCACAATCAAACTAATTCAATCAAACGCACTATGTTGGCTTTTAGTTGTGAAACTAAGCATGTTGCCCGTCAATAAACCTTGTATAATGTGCACTCTGTACTCACATGGCTTGGTATGATTCACATGAGATATTAGTGGGGATAGAGGCCAGATCCTTGGCTGTGATACTGGGCAGCAGTAATTGTAATCTTTTCTGGAACCATTCAACATAATCTGTGGTATTGAATCTTACAAACCGGGGTCCCAATAGCCGCATAATCCCATTCAACAATGTGTCCCTTACTACTGTGTGTTGAATGGATGTAATTTTCATCTGAAACAAAAGGTAACACTGATTAATTAACTGTACAGTAACAAGTTAGATGAAAGTGAAATATGCTGGAAATAGTTGTTCATCTTCAGAGTTCGAGTCAACTACCTTTCCATTGATTTCATAGGATCCCTACAGTGTGGAAGCAGGCCATTCAGCCCATCGGGTCCACATCAACCTTCCAAAGAGCATCCCACCCAGACCCACACCCCTACTCTTTCCCTGTAACCCTGCATTCCCTGTGGATAATCCACCTAGCCTGCACATGTTTGGACAGTGGGAGGAAACTACAGCACACTATGGGCAATTTAGCACGGCCAATCCACCCAACTTGCACATGTTTGGACAGTGGGAGGAAACTACAGCACACTGAGGAAGCCCACACAGACACGGGGAAAATGTGCAAATTCCACACAGACAGTCACCCGAGGCTGGAATCAAATCCAGGTCCTTTACACTGTGAGGCAGCAGTGCTAACCACTGAGCCATTCTATTAAAAACTGAACAATCTGTAATTAGGCCATCAGACAGAAAGAATCAATCTGCTTTGATATTTCTAACATTTTAGCAAAGTACATCTTATATCCATCCACCAAAAGTAACTGCAGAATTGGTAAACTCTTGTTTAATATTCCAAGAAGTGTTAACTAGTAAACTAAGAAACAAAAACTGAAAATCTTCCACATGATATCTGAATAGAACAACATTCTGTCTTTTCCCTTGCTGCACTGTGCCCTGTTATTGGTAAATGTAGCAGTTACTGACACAAATTAGCATAGATCATTACTTTTAGTAATAGCGTAAAGCAGGTAACAGCAATTTGGCAGCTCATTTGACAACTCTACTCATTTTTATTTCATATCTCCACTGGAAATTGGAGAGAGATATGAAAATACGCACTACCTCACCACCAAACACTTTACATTACTGTACAGCAACAAACTCTGTCTGATGTATGGTCACTGTTCATGCTAGTGCTAGTTGCAATATACAATGTGTTTTACATTCTGAATTAATTCACTATTTTTAAAATACACCACTACTGTGGTGGCATTTGAATCCCAAAGTATTAGACTGGGTCCTCGGATTATCGGCACAGTGTAATTGACACTACATCACCATAGCCTGTACATCCAACACTCAAACACTGTTACCTGCAACAGAATGAATTTGAAAATTAACAAGGCAGTCAAACACATCTAAGGGCAAAAGGAAAAGTATCTTACCACTTGTGTCTCATTCACAAATTGGGTAATAAAGATGATCAGTTCAGTGAAGCTTCTATTGCCAAGGGTATCAATGATCATTTTGATGTGAGATGTGTTATTCAGTGACTTTACAGTCAGTCCCGAGAGTTGGGGTGCATTCAGTAGTTCCAATATTTCATACTATAGAAAGCAAAAGCCAGTATTTTACAAACAATAAGTTCACAGAATTGAAAATGAAGTGTCCAATCTCTGTCTGAAAACTGTACAGTACACAGTTAAGTGTAGCCAACTTACTACAGACAAGTTCTTGTTCAACTGAAGTATATCAATGTAGGAAACCTGGGCAATGAATTTCTTAAAATTCTTCTGTAGCCAGTAATGGATTCCAGCCTTGTCAGAAGCACATGGAATACCTTTGGAACCTACAAGGCAAAAATCAACATTGCTAACTGGACAAATCTAGACAAGGAAATCCCTTTCACAATTACGAAACACTAAGGGAGGATTCTGTTAATGTCTGGATTCAAATGTTCTCTCAGGGCTAGAGATACAATTTCACATCATTTTGTTTCAAGACAATCTATGAGGGGAAGCCACCCTACAATCAGCAGGTCAATTACCCTCTCCGTTTCTGTTCCATGGGGAATTTAATGCCAATATTTTTTGATGAAGGGTAAGACACCTGATAAAATCAGGTCAACAATGGAAGCCCATTATAGCTACCCAATTCAACACAAGGGCAGAGTCACTACCACCTTCTTCATAGCAATTAGGGAAGGCCAATGAATGCTATGCTTTTGCCAGTGATACTTACTTCCCACAAAAGAACAAAAAGAACATGGAAAACATTCAAAAAACTAAAGAAGTGACCAAAGGTAAGTGGTATGCTATCCTTTGTGGAACCAAAAGCACAAGGGTATCGCTGTGTCTCAGCAAGAGAATGTTTCAGCTTTCCAACTGGGACACAAAATATGTAATTCTTTGAGGGCTGTACTTCAGATTTTCCTCAGGGCTACTTTTTGAATTTTGGGGGGGTTACCTTCTGGCTAGGGGCTGCTTTTCATTCTCACACATTCAAGTATTAGGTGATGCAATCGCATGTTAACAATACTTCTTGTACTGGTGTTAACAGTTAAACTTGGACAGATTTCACCAAAATTCTCATTAATTGTCTGTTAAACTTAAAGCTACAGCACATAAAAAGAAAGTATTAATTTCATAGACTGCGCAACACTGCGCAACATGCCCTAGTCAACAGCAAAAAGCTACTTTTCCAAAATAACTGGCACACATTTCTACACACAAAAAGCCATCACCTTCCTCAGACTGCTGGGGGGATCACAGCAATATAATTGCATAAACACAGGGTTGGAATATTTTGATGTCTTTTTTTGCATTTTAGATCTCAATCTCAAATTTCAATTTAACTATTAATGCAGCGTCCATCACAATAGCATACTCTTCCCTAAACAGTAGCTCCTGAACTTATGCAGCCTCGAACTAAAAATCTTACATTCACTTGCAAATAATTCATCATCTCAGTAACTTAGACCCAAATGTGAGCATTAGATAGATTTGAGATTTCTCTCTGTAGCAGGCTGTTCTGTCATTGAGAAAAGAAATACCAGATATTTCGACAAAGATAGAACAAACTAAATCTAAATTTATTTTACGAACATTGCCGAGACAAACTTAGAGGGTTGAAAGTACTTGTCCCATGTCGTTAATCCTGTTTAAACGTGGCGCGCATCATTCAATTGAATAGAACAGAACAGAATAGAATAAAGTATCCTTTATTGTCATGTGTACTCGAGTACAGAAGTACAGTGAGAAGTTTAAAATGTCATCTCTTACAATGTACTTAGGTGCAAATCTTAGATACAAAAAGAGGAATAAAAAGGAAAAGTGTCACATTACCTTACAGTGATCAAAGTATGTGTTAGAAATAAGACATAGTTAAAAGGATAAACAATACAGTAAGATAAACAAATTACAGATAAACACTACATTGCAGTAACTCAGCACAGGGGCTGTCTGGATTCACAAATATTATCATCTATACTGCAATAGTTCAATATTTTCATCACATGCTTGATTTGATTTTCAAATAGAAACTCCATCATCATTAAAATGATATGTACATTACCTGCAAAGTTAACCTGAAAGGTCAAGAAATTTCTGCTGAAGTTGTAGATGTCTCTGTGTTGTGACTCAGACAGATTTAGATACAAATCACTTAGACCTTGAATGCTATAAAAATTAAAGAGAAGAGAATTTCCGTCATCATACTGTGACATTTCATTTGGCACGTAAACAAAAATCAAAGAATGTCGCAGATCTGAAGAAGTTCTGAAGAAGGTTCTGAAGAAGACCAAAACATTAACTCTGCTTTCTCTCTCCAGGATGCTGCCAGACCTGCTGAGTTTCTCCCACTATCTCTGTTTTTTATTCAATTTGGTACAGCTTGGCAGGGACCAGTCACTGTATTTTCTCAGACTAAGAGATCTTTAGAAGTCCAATGCGACAAGTGCTTCAATATCTGATTTTATAGCTGGATGAGTGGGAATAGTATTGACAACGTGTGATGGTATAAAATTACTGAGAGCAAGTTGGCAGCTCATTTTACCTCCCTCCCATTAACTCCAGTCCCTATCCCACAATTCACTCCACTCAACAAGTTAAAATTACTCATTAGACTGAATCTTACCTCTTTTTTGGTCCAAATACACATTGGTTGGTGCTACAGCCCCTCTAAAGGCTGCTCAATCCAAGTGCAGCCATTTTATTCCCCGTTGCGCATTATCAATTTCCAGTGCAATGCCCCGTCCACAGTGGTCATCCCTTTTTCTCCCCAACCTGCAGCCTCCAGTCCTGAAGCATAACTTGCTCACTCTTCTTTCTCTTGCACCTCCCTAAACCTATTCCCATTGGTTCCTCTGGGCAATGCACTGACCGTGGCCAAATCCCTTGTCTGACCTAACCAGACATCCATCCACAGGCAAGAAATGCCAAGATCCCTGACCAGGTTAGCTTTAGCACCCAGACTGGACACAGCAGAGTCACAGGACTGACTGTAACCCTCGACTGTAGAAGCACAGACCTCTGATGAAGAGCATCCTGACAAGATACTTTGAATGGTATGGGAAGCTACCCTACACTGTGCCAGGTCAGCCTGGCTGTGCCAGGAGCCCCAACAGTGCTAGGACCCCCTCACTGTGCCAGGAGCCCCAACAGTGCCAGGACCCCCTGACTGATGGCTATCTCCATGGATTTCTCTGAGGATGACTCCTCTAACAGTTTGACCCCAGGCTGCGTGCTGGCTACCCCATGCCCGGTATTTGCTATGGAAGCTGCTGACACATGGTGCAGGGGTGAGACTGACACAGCCCACTGCCCCCAGTAAGATGTACAGCCCCTTAGACTGAGGAGTACTGAGCAACAAGGCAAACTGCTATTTATGTGACTGAACTAACTGGCACATCAAGGCACAAGCAGGTTCAGAAATCAGACCATTGAATGGACTCTAGTCTCAAATAATGTAACCTGCAAATGTAACCTGTACACCTCTAAATCCTTTTGATCTGTACATCCTTTACTTGCTGTGATCTGCCTGTACCATTCATAAACAAAGACTTTTTTACTGTATTTACTGTATTACTGTACACGTGACAATAAAATCAATCAATCAATCAATCAAAATCAATCAATCAAGGCAAGGCACGGATGCTGTGAGCACACAGGTAGGCATTAAGTGAGTGAGCGCCAAGAGATACCTCTTGGTCCAGTCCATGAATTGGGTGCCCATCCCTGTGCACAAAGTGTCCCTGCTGCATCCTATCAATGCTGGTTCCTGGCAAAGCATGTAACACAAGTTTGAGCTTCAAGAGCACACTGCCAGTGTATTGTAGAGGAGCCATGATGGTCAGGAGGGGTTGGTAAATGCCAAATGTCTGTGCATGCAGCTGGTGCAGTAGTCATATGTAATATGGACTTCTATCAGAGCAAGCAATGAGTTCAATCCATCAGGCACAAGCTCTGATTTCTAAGTCACATTTTCTTGATGTCTAACATGTTTGGTGCATTTCGTGAGATAGGAGATTGAATGCTAATGAGGTGCATGGGCCCATTAATAAATCATTTAACAAGCTGTAATCTTCCTTAACTAGCAATTTATCCAGTGAGAAACTTGTCTTGCCACTCTTCAAGAGCATAAAAGGTAGAGCAAGATACTTCCAGCATCAAAATGAGCTTAACCAGACTCCCCAACTGCTTCTGCCGCAAATCTCTCCATAGCCCATATTGGTCAGACCCCTATAATACTCCGTCCATTGTATCTCTAGTACAGTGTTGGGAATAGGCACCTTCACACTATTCACATTCAAGTTGTGCTAAACTTTTCCATTTCTCACTAATTTCAGATGGAATGTATGATGCAGACAAGCAACTTTATTGCCCTCATTTTTGGGAAAGACTATATTTCTAAGTGGTTAGCATTCCTGCAGACGTACTGCGCAGGGATCTTAAAACAAGCGTAATTCATCTGACTTCAATGCAGTTCGAAATAGTTATTGCTAATATTAAGGGCAGACAAAATGCTTGACACTTATTGCACTCCCTTCACCACCATATTAAAAGGAGATACTGACACATTTTTATAAATAATTCAGAAGTGCTAAGAGCAAAGTGAGAATTTCATATGCATTCATAAATGTGCAGTGGATTTTAAACATTAGTTCTCATCATGTTAAGATTATTAGTCATTCACGTGCCCCAACCTGAGATGTTTCTAACAGTCCTGGTAAATTTGATACTTGTTATTCAAATGCATGAAACAGCAAGTTCATATAAACTTAGAGTTTTCTAGTTTTTCTCCTGAAATGCAGCACAAAATTGCAGTCCTCTACCTAATACATCCAGGCAGAACTCTCGAGAAAGGAAGTGACACATGAGAAAAACAAACAGCAGAAAGATATGCTGAAAAGTTGAAACAAAGTGGATAGAATGGGTGGAGTCTTATGAACAGTATAAACAAACACAGACTAGTTAGTCACGTGGCCTTTATCAATGCCTTACATTCTATCTAATTGTACATCTGGGGCCAAACATTCTCTGGGTCATCTTGTTGAGAGTCAGTTCTTTGCTACCAACCATTAGTGGTCACTGACACAGGCAGAATAATTGGATCTTCTTGGCTGTTCTCTATCAGTTTGGAATATTATATACGTACATTGCTTGATATGATGCACAGCTTATGTTGGTGGGTATGGTGGCAAGCTCCTTTCCTGTGATACTAGGCAACAGCAGAATTAATTTCCTCTGGAACATGTCAACATAGTCGCTGGTATTAAACATCGGAAAGAGGGGTTCCAGCAACTTCATGATCTTGCTCAGCATCAAGCGTCTTACTGTCGCATTTTGAAATGTTGTAACATTCATCTGAAATGAAATGTAGTTAATTGTATCAATTATTTGAGGACCACAAGCATTTTTCAGATGGAAAAAGACAAAACTGAGAACTGCTCATGTTGATTTCCTGATGGCGCTCAATCCTATGCAGATTCACAGCATGTCAGTTACTTAGTTTATCTGTTGATAGAAAAATTACTGTAAGTTGTGATGTTTGTAACCTAGGCATGACATGATCATTTTGGCATTACTGGTGGAATCCAACATCAGCCCTTTCCCTAGCGTCCACACTGAGACCAGATAACACGTGAGAGTTTGAACATCAATGACCTTGTTTATTGCAGTGCGTTGCAGACCTAGCTCCAGTGGAACTGTGCTAGAAGGGAAATGAGTAGGGTCCGAAACTGGCTGTACCAAAAAAACGAGGCGCAGGAGTATACCAGTAGGCCCTTCTTTCCTTCTCTCCCATTCAATAAGAATCATAGAATCCCTACAGTGTGGAAACAGGCCATTCGGCCCAACAAGTTCACACCACCCCTCCAAAGAGCATCCTGCCCAGACCCATTCCCCTACCCCTGCATTTTGCCTATGTCTAACCCACCTACCCTAAACACTACAGGCAATTTAGCATGGCCAATCCACCTAACCTGCACATCTTTGGACTGTGGGACGAAACCAGAGCACCCGGAGGAAACCCACACAGACACGGGGAGAATGTGCAAACTCCACACAGACAGTCACCCGAGGGTGAAATAAACCTGGGTCCCTATGAGGCAGCAGTGCTCACCACTGAGCCACCGTGCCACCGATCAGAATTAATTGGATCCCAGGGAGCCGAAGAGCTTGGGGTTGTGAAAAAGATCAAGAAAAGCTGCCAGAACCTTTACAGGTTCAGCAGCTTTCTCTGGTCTCTGCAGTAAAAACACTTTGAGCCTGAAGAAAACCGAGTTTATTTTCCCTTCAGCTGTTGCTATAAGCAGTGATATAATATGCCAATGGTTGATATTTATCTGTAGCCACAATCAATTTATTTGTAATAAATAGTTACTCATATTAATTACAGAAAATTGGTCTGGCCTTTCTGTCAAACTGGGTCAAAGACAGATAAATTGGGGAATTCTGTATACTTTTAAAATCTTTAACTTTTGTAGCGACTCCTGGAATTTCAAACACACTACCCCAATGAGGAGTAATGGTGTTATTCTACATTTCTGTCTATCCTCAATAACCATTGAGTCTGGTGTTAATAAAGGACTTACCTCCCCTTCAAAATGTTCAATGACCCAGCTCCACCACTCTCTGGGGAACAGAGTTCCTAATATTCATGACAAAAAAAAATCCTCTTCAATTCTGATTTAAATGGGAGAGCCTTTATTTTGAACTGTGACCACTAGTCTCTCCCACAAGGGGAAAGACCCATTCATTATCCACCTGTGCTGTCCCCTTAGGATTGTGTGTTTCAATAAAATCACCTCTACTTATTATACACTCGAATGAATAACAGACCAACCTATCTTCATAAGTTAAGGGGTGCAGATTCAGACCAGAGACTGGAGTGAGATGAGACAGAGTGAGAGCTCAGGGAATTTGGTGTACAGTGGGGAAGGAGTACAGTGGGGTAAGGTTTATTGCAAGACGTTAATCTTGCTGAGTGGGTAGCTCAGTGAAAGGAGGAAGAGGTGTTCCTCTATGACCAGTTGCTGTTAAATACTTTGTCTCATTGTCATTACAATTTGGAAAATGTAAGATTTTAGAACAACCAAACACAAGAAAATTAAGTCGACAGAAAATTGCACTAAACTGCGATTAGGGTGCAGAAGGGCAAAATGTTCAATCTGTGGCCTGTGGGGAGTCATAGACATTCCACGCAACCTAGACCAGTGCACCTTTAGCAGCTGCAGAGGTCTGAGCCCAACGTTTCAGAGCCTGAGCAGCAGCTGGTATCGAAGCTGAGAAATGGGTGAATCAGAAGTTCAGAGAGGTAGTCACACCGCAGTAGATGGGCAATAAATGCTGGTCTAGCCAGTGACACCCTCATCCCGCAAATGAATAATTAATAGACATGACATTTTAATTCACCAGGTTCCACCTAGTGGCAGATACTGGTCAGTGTGGAAAGAATAGCCTGCACGAACCAACTTCAAGCGTAGGTTGATCCAAGGACAAATGGCACGAGACAATGAAACGTCATCTTTCCTGTTCCTCTGATGCTGCTTGGCCTGCTGTGTTCCCCCAGCTCCATACTGTGTTATATTTAAAATAAACTATACTCTTTTCTAAAACAACTCACAACGAACATCCCAGCAGATTTCTTAAATTGAGATAAAGGTTTTATGACTGTAACAAAAGTAATTTGAAAGTTCCGACGGATATTGGAAGCTTCAAAAACAAGGGGAAAGTCATCTTACCTCTTGAGTATCAGAAACAATTTGTGTCAAGTATGCAATCAGGTCACTGAAACTTCTGCCAGCAAGTGCATCAATAATCTGGCCAATTTTGTCCATGTTATTCAAAGCATCAGAGTGCACAGTCAACCCAGAAAGTAATTGTGGAGTGAGGAGGTCCAGTATTTCAAACTAAGAGAAAGAAAGTGACTTTATCAAATTACATTTTTAAAACATATGAAAAAAAAAGAAAAAATCTGTTTCCCTTCCAATTAAAACTCTTCAGTTTACAGTTTTGTCTGGCAGTCAATATGGAATCTGCTGTAATTTCAACTTACTCCAGAAAAGTTCAGAGCTAAGAAGCTCCTGTACGACAAGCCTCTTAAGGATTGTATCAATCTCCTTTGTATCCAGTCGTGGCCTTTTGTCACATTAGCATCACATTCCGAACCTGTAGAAGCCAGTGAGAAATAATCAGTGTCATGAGCTGTACAACAGTGAGGCAAGTCCGTTATCCAATGGAAGAGTTTGTTCTAGAGTCTGTGAAATAACATTGTTCCCAATGCAACATCCGAATATGTTTCATAGCAGATTAATCCACTACTCTCCACACTGCTTTGCACTGATATTTGCACCACACTTAATTCCCAGCAGATTGCAACTGTTGTTGCTTCATAACCAAGCAACACTTGGTTGAATGGATGCCACCCTGCAAATCCTGGCCTTGCAACAGCAGTAAAGAGCTGAAGATGGCATAATGGGCACAATCATTGATGACTCCTGGAGATGAATCAGTGAAGCAGGAAGATCCAACATAGGAAGCTGTTCAAACTGTCTTGAAGTAATAACTAACTGCATTATAGCAGGCTTCATAAGAATTAAAGCATTGTTAATTCCAAGCCAAAATATTTCACACAGATAGAAAATAAAAGCTGTATAATCAAACATGATGTGTGCATTACCTGATAAAATGATGTGATGGGAGAGGACATTTTTGCCAAATCTGTACAGATATCCAAGTTGTGGTAATGTAAAGTTTATTACACTGTTAAACCCCTTCATTCTGTAAAGGTAAATACAAGGGGGCTGTAAATCCACAGAAAATGAATGACCTGTGATTTAAAAGTGAATTTCTCAGCTATTTTGTTTAAAGCAAAGAGCCTGTTTGAATCCCCACACAAATGAAAACTCCCATTTTTTTAATGTTCTAAACAAAGCTTAAGTCTTCATTTTAACCAATAATTTCTCAATAAGGTCAGAAGTCAGACAACAACAGGTTATAGCCCAACAGGTTTATTTAAAATCACAAGCTTTGAAAGTGCTGCTCCTTCGTTACGTTGTGATTTTAAATAAACCTGTTGGACTATAACCTGGTGTCGTGTGGCTTCTGACCTTGTCCACCCCAGTCCAACACCGGCATCTCCACATTAATTCTCAATAACGTGAACAGAAATACTTACATGGCCTGGTAAGATTCACATGTTATGTTTGTGGGTATGCTAGCAAGCTCAAAGCTTGTAATTCTGGGTAACAGTACTGTTAGCCTCTTCTCGAACCAGTCTGTGAAGTTAACAGGTTTAAACGCAGGAAACAAAGGTTTCAGGGTGCCAAAGATACTACTGAGTAATGTGTCACTCACTGTCGTGTTTTGAATCACTGTCGTGCTCATCTGAAAGGCAAAGGAAATGGAAGCTTCAATTTTGCTACTAACTGTTACCAACTTCACTTAAAATTTACATGTTGCTTTCAACAGAACTTGAGTTCAACAGTACTCCAATTGAGTACTGCAAAAATATTGGCAAATGCCTTGTGATAGGTCATGGATTCATTTGACACAAAGTTTTCCTGTCCATTTGTTTTAGCAATGACAAGCAACTTAAGTTATATTTTATCCTGAACTTTTAGTCTCCCTCCTGCCTGAATATAAGCAGCAAATACCTGGAAATAGGTCATTGTGCCAGTTTACTCTTGGCAGCCTTGTACCGGGATATCCTACAGTGGTCTTGTAGGAAATAAGTAGCAAGCCAAGAGTCATTTGGCATAGGGGTTTCAGCCTATAGGCCCAGTTAAGAATTGGCAAAATAGGTCTTAACCTCTTTATCCTGTTCATCAACTGGGGAAATTAACATTCCTAAAGGCAAGGGTCAGGAAAGGTGTCCAAAATGGGTGAAATGCTAAAGAAACTAATGACTGCGTTAGAGCTACTCCGACCCTATGGAGTTAGTTTATTTTTCTCACAGAAATTTTCAGAAGAATTTTGATTTGTTTCAATCCTAAAAGATTTTCTTCCAATTATTTATCATATTCAAATCATGATTAAATTCATAACCAATAAATTTAATAAATTTCATTAACTTTTCAATTGATTAGTTCAGATTAACAGAGCGATGCAAACGAACTAGTTACCAATCGCCTCAATTAATCTGATCATCAATCATATCACTTCACGCTGTTTTGAGAATATGCTCAGCATTTATATTTAAATAAAATCAGGTCTAAAGAAGTCACCAGCAAAGCTAGTATCGAATGCTCAGCTCTGTTAATTTCATGGAATAATTATTTCTGTAAATATTAGATCTAATCAAGAAACAAATCTTTGAATATTTCAAATAGTAATGAAATTTTATTTATGTACACTAAGCTGTATATGACAAGTTCAGTCAAGATATTCTACAGCTCATATAGCAGGTGAAACCACCATTAGTCACATCTCTCTCTCTCTAATACAAGAACAGCGCTATGATCATAGAATCTCTACAATGTGGAAGCAGGCCATTCAGCCCATCAAGTCCACACCAACCTTCTGACAACTTTCCATACAGACAGTTGCCTGATGTTGGAATCGAACCCGAGTCTGTGGCACTGTGAGACAGCAGTGCTAACTGCTGAGTCACCATGCCACCCACAAGGCCTGCTGGGACTATGGTATCTTTACTAAACAGAACCCGACATGTGCACAATCGGTACTGAATAAACCTATCAGTGGTCCCTTAGAAGAAGATTTTTTATGAACATGTTGGAGATTATGAAGAGATAGCAAGAACTGCCGATGCTGGAGAATCTGAGATAACAAGGTGTAGAGCTGGATGAACACAGCAGGCCAGGCAGCATCAGAGGAGCAGGAAAGCTGACATTTCGGGTCGGGACCCTTCTTCTGAAATCTTCAGAAATATTGGAGATTATGAATACTGCTCCTGGTCAGGCAATAACATTCCAGCTTTCTGAGAAGTTATGAATGCCCTAAAGATTTCTTTCCACTTTTTATTAATGATACAACTGCTGGTTCAGGGTTCTGTTGGTCAATGGTAGTATCTCTACCTTTAGGTCAAAAGGTCCAGGTTCAAGATCCACCTCAGAATGTGATGGCTTTGGACACTTTAACACATCCAAACCAAAAAAAAATTACGACTTCTGATTTAGATGGCAATTGACAGTGAAGTGATAACAAAGTCAGCAAGGTGGACCTCATAGAATATGAGTTCCCTGATTGGGGCTGTTAACCTGATCCAATCAGGGAGCCCTGGCTGACAGACATAAACAGGAGCGTCAGGGGTGCTGTTCACTCTGAGAGCTGGCTCTGAAGAAGCCAGACTAGTGCCAAGTACAACGCACATATAAATAAAGGGGGACTTGGTGATGGGATACCAGCTCCTGTGATGTTAGTTGAAACAGGTTGCCCATGAGCGATGCGTCCTTGAGAATTAGCATAGTGCCACAGTTTGCTAGAGTAAGCAAATAGGCCCAAAAAAGCTGCGGCCTTATGAAAATAACTTTGACTAGAATAGTATAAGCACTTCTTTCACTGCCAGCCCACAGCGAAAATATTCTCTAAAGGTTTGAGTGCTGTTTTTAATTGATACTTCCATTGAGTGTAAATTCAGATTAAATATCACAAGCTATTACCAATCCTCTCATTCAGCTATTATAGATAATTTCTAAAAGATAGTCCTTACATCATGAACTTCAGTCGAGAATCTTTATTATCAAAAGTATTTCTCAACCCCCTTCGCCCATTGCTGCCTACATCTCACATAGTCTTGGGGACTTACTGCACTGGAATTGATTTTCTGCTGAGTAAGATTCATAGTCAGAATGAGTTCATTGATGAATTCCCAGTTCTTCACCAACCAATCCCTGGACTCACTCGTCTTGGTGATGCAGCTCACGCCTATGGATAAAGATGAAACACATTAGTCACATGAATTGTACTCAAGTATCAGGAATACATCCCAACTATTAGAGGTATATGCCCAGGTGTCTGGTATACATCCCAGCAGCTACAGGTATACGTCCAGGTATCTGGTATATGTCCCAACAGCTACAGGTATACGTCCAGGTATCTGGTATACGTCCCAACAGCTACAGGTATACGTCCAGGTGTCTGGTATACGTCCCAACAGCTAAATACATCCAGGTGTCTGGTATACATCCCAACAGCTACAGGTATATGTCCAGGTGTCTGGTATACATCCCAACAGCTACAGGTACACATCCAGGTGTGTGGTATATGTCCCAAAAGCTACACGTATACTTCCAAGTGTCTGGTATATGTCCCAACAGCTACAGGTATACGTCCAGGTGTCTGGTATATGACCCAGCAGCTACAGGTATACGTCCAGGTGTCTGGTATACATCCCAACAGATACAGGTATACGTCCAGGTGTCTGGTATATGACCCAGCAGCTACAGGTATACGTCCAGGTGTCCAGTATACGTCCCAACAGCTACAGGTATACAGACAAAAAAGCTGCAGATGCTGGAATCCAAAGTAGACAAACAGGAGGCTGGAAGAACACAGCAGGCCAGGCATCATCTGGAGGAAAGGAACAGTCAATGTTTCGGGTCCTACCCTTCTTCAGGACAGCTAGAGGTATATGCCCAGGCGTCAGGTATAGGACCCAACTGTTACAGGTATACTCCCAGTGTCAGTGATGCATCCCAACTGCTGGATCATGTCACATAGTATGTCCCTTCAATCATTCACATTATACATAAGACTGACCATTCCAATCTCGATTTATAAAAGTCAGAACTGCTGAAAAACCTTGAAAACACTAAGAATTACCCTAACGTACAAACGAGAGACAGGAGTGGGCAATTTGGCCCCTTGATCCTCCTGCGCCATTCAATAAGGTCATGGGTGATCTGATTGTAACCTCAAATTTGTACTGAACTCCCACAACGTTTTCACCGTTTTGTTCAGCAAGAATCTACTTACTTCTATTTTATAATATTCTAGCACTCTGGTTCTGCCACCTTTTCAGGAAGCGAGTTCCAAAGATCACCAGCCTCTGAGAGAAAACACTTCACCTCATCTCAGTCTTAAATGGATGACCCCTGATCCTTCCACAGTGATTCCTAGCTCTAGATTCTCCCATAAGAGGAAACTTTCTCTCCACATACGCCCTATCAAGACCACCTCAGGAGCTTACAACCGATTTAAGAAGTTTAAAATTGGCCAGTCTTCATTCAACATGTAACAGATCAGCTGAAATCAAATTAATGACTTGCCAAACCATAATTAATGATATTCTTGAGGTATTCCACAAGTTAAAATATCGAAAAACTTTTAAAATTATTTGCTCATCCTAACTTCTTCAGCAAATCTGGAATGAATCAATATCATCTATAAAAGTAATCCTGTCATTTCAATAAATAAGCATCGGAATTCCTGTCACTTACCTGTGGCATTGATGTAACTAAAGATCCATTCCTCTAGAGCTGCTTTTGTATTCAATGTCATCTCTGCCAGACCTGCTTTGAATCCTTGCACACTGATTGTCGATAGTAAACAAATATAAACATTGATTTAATTAGAACATGAGCTAAATATAATTTAAATGATTATCAGTTATCAAACTGTTGCCATTTTATTCTTTGTAACCTATAGGTGTTACCAGTTAAACTATAGAGTATAAAATTTTATACTCTATATGTCCTAACAAGCTGAGCCACTCTTATTGAATAGCACACCAATTCCAACAATTATTATTTCATTATGACAATTAACATATGCATTCGATGTAAGTATCTAGTGCAGAATGCAATTATAAATAATTTAAATCACAGAAATAATGAGAACTATTTCCAATGACTCAAGAGTGGATAACCAAAAGATATAAATTTAAGACAAAATAAAACAAAGAACCACAGATCTGAAACATACGGAAAATCTGTTTCTCTCTCCATAGAGTCCCTACAGTGTGGAAGCAGGCCATTAGGCCCATCAAGTCCACAATGAACCTCTTAAGAGCATCCCACTCAGACACATACCCCTACCCAATCCCTGTAACTCCACATCTTCCATGACTAACACACCTAGCCTGCACATCCCTGTGCACTGTGGGCAATTTAACACGGCCAATCCACCCAGCCTGCACATCTTTGGACTATGGGAGGAAACCGGAGCACGCGGAGGAAACCCACGCAGACACGGGGAGAATGTGCGAACCCCACACAGTCACCCAAGGTTGGAATCAAACCCGGGTCTATGGCGCTGTAAGGTGGTATTGCTAACCACTGAGCCACCGTGCTGCCCTAATGATGCTCCCAGATCTGCTGCGTTTCTCCAGCAATTTCTGTTTATGTTTGTCATAAATTTAAGGTGACTGGCCAAAAAATCAAAAGCAACATTAGGGATGCATTTAAGCATGTGCCCATTGAATTTGGAATGGACTGCCTTATAGATGGTGGAAGCGGAATCCAATTCTGGCATTCTGAAGAAAACTGGATAAATACTACAGAAGATAAGAAGCTTTCAAATTATGCGGTAAGGGTGAGACTAACTGGATTGTTGTTCAAAGAGATGCGCTTCAATGGACAAAATAGTCTCTTCTGCTGTACTATCCTAGGATTTTATAAAACACACTGATAAATTGCAAAGAAGCACCATCTTCATAGAGAGCTGTTGACAATTTTTTTTTCTCTGTTGAGTCATAGAGTCATACAGCACAGAAACAGACCCTTTGGTTCAACTCATCATGCTGACCACAATCCCAAATTAAACTAGCCCCACCTGCCTGCACTTGGCCCATATCGCTCTAAACATTTCTCATTCATGTACTTATCCAAATGTATTTTAAATGTTATAACTGTACCTGCATCCACCACTTCCTCTGGAAGTTCGTTCCACACACAAACCACTCTCTCTGTAAAATAACTATCCCCATGTCTTTTTTTTTTAAATAATTTTCCTCTCACCCTTAGAAATATGCCCTCAAGTATTGAAATCCCCCACCCTCTGGAAAGACACTTGCCATTCACCTAATCTTTGCCCCTCATTATTTTGTAAACTTCTATATCTCTTCCAACCTCTCCTGTGAGGCAGAAGATATAAAAGCTTAAACACAAGTATAACAGGTTCAATAACAGCTTCCTCCCCGCTGTTCTGAGACTGCTGAAAGGACCTCTCAAATTTCAAATCTAATGGTGATCCTGTTTGTGCACTCCTCCTGTACAACTGTAACTTTGTACACCTCCCTCTGTTCACCCTATGGTTTGTATGTCCTTGTATGTTATGATCTGCCTGCACTGCACACAGAACAAAACTTTTCACTGTACTTAGGTGCACGTGACAACAATAAATCAAATCAAATAAGCTCACCTCCTGCATTCCAATGAAAAAAGTCCCCGCTATCTAGCCTCTCCTTACATCTTAAACCCTCAAACAAGCAATGCAATGACAGATTTGTCTGTTGTACTTCCATAACCTATTTGCCTCTTGTTCTTCTGTCTCCCAAATAAAGCAAAAAGGAAAAGAATTATCAGGAATACAACAGTTTTTAAAAAATGCAAGTGTTAAATACAGAAAAGCATCCTTACAATGCTTTGAAGTCATCACATGATATATTCGAGTATGGAAGAGATTGCAGAATGGGTTTAGAAATGCCAGCAATAAATGGTCTGAGGAGCTGTAGAAAGGTCCCGAGAAATGTGGAATTTTTTAATCTTGTGTCGGCTTTATATCTCTCCCACACGGCACGAAGGATTGTTTCTTTGGCCATCAGAGGAACTGAAAGTGTGTCATTAATCTGCAATAAGTTAAAAAAAAAAGTCAGTATCCTCAAAGAGCAAGGTATAAATTCCCCACAAAGCAGACAAGCTTGATGTTAAAGAGAACCTGCATCTGTAGCCATCTGTGATTGTCAGAGTATAATAATCTTTTACATTGAGGATCCTGAAGTTAAGTTCAAACAGATGCAGAAATCAGTCTTTACACTCTTCAAATTCTCTAACCCAATGCCTCCAGCAATTCTGAAAGCTTCAGTGAATCATGTATCCCCAGTTATCACATCTAGAAGGTGTCAGCAGTGCTAACACAGCCCCTGACTCTTGGACTTCACTGTGAAATGTGGTCAAGTTGCCGAATGGCTCAGAAAGCGCAAGGGAACTCAGAGGATGGTTTTAGGGATGCACATTGAGTGAAAAAACTATTTCCTATGCCATGTGTCCATTGCTAATGCATTGAAAAAACTCACTCCATAGTGAGCGAAATAACTCTTTCCCTTTGTTAGCTAACAGAGAAGGAAAACTTGTCCTGGTCAGTCTGTCTAACAGCATCATAAACACATTAAAAAAAAATGCATTTGGGAATTCACAGGCACATTAACAAGAGCATTCTTCTCTTTGAAATGGCCTTTTTTTTCCTTTATTCATTCACAGGATGAGGGCAAGGCTGGCTGGGTCAGCATTTATTGCCCATCCCTAACTGCCCAGAGGGCAGTTAAGAGTCAACTACATTGCTGTGGGTTTGGAGTCACATGTCGGCCGGACCAGGTAAGGATGGGAAGTTTCCTTCCCTAAAGGACATTAGTGAACCAGGTGGGATTTTCCAACAACCGGCAATGGTTTCATGGTCATCATTAGAATTAATTCCAGATATTTCTGAGTTCAAATTCCACCATCTGCTGCGGCGGGATTCGAACCTAGGTCCCCAGAACATTACTTGGGTCTCTGGATTAACAGTCCAGCGATAATATCACTAGGCTATTGCCTCCCCCTAATTTGATATTTTGATATTTAAAATTATAACCTTTGCAGTAAGTTTAATTAATGTCTTTGTTAGTTAATAAACTTTTAGTTTAGTATCAGAACAAACCAACTTCATTTCTGCACCATCTCTTAAAGTACAACCTGATTCTAAACTGTTGGAAAGTGAAGCCTTCACCCAGGGAGGCTAAATCCACTTTGAATTAGTGATAGTAAGAACTGCAGATGCTGGAGTCAGATTTAACACACAGTGTGGAGCTAGAGGAACACAGCAGGCCAGGCAGCATCAGAGGAGCAGGAAAGTTGATGTTTCGGGTCAGGACCCCACTCTGAATTAGTGTTATGTCATTCCAGAGGAAGTGGTGGATGCAGGCACAGTTACAACATTTAAAAGATATTTGGATAGGGACATGAATAGGAAATGTTTGGAGGGATACAGGCCAAACGCAGGAACATGGGACCAGTTTAGTTTGGGAACTTGGTTGGCATGGACTAGTTGGACCAAAGGGTATGTTTGTATGCTGCATGATTCCATGACTCTATCTCCAGTATCTGCAGTTCTTTGTCTTATGACAAACCTGTCTTAAATTCTGGGGATGAGGTCAATTTCACAGTCAGGTCAAAATATCCAATCCAACCCCACAGCATAACTTTTATGATTGCCCTCTCTAGTCTAGAAATTTTGGAGCTGGAACCTTGGCATATTGGGAGTTTGTTCCTGATACCAGTATTAGCAACCTAATGGCAAATTGCAGTTCAAACTCTTCCCAGTGGATGAATATTTTTGTAATGACTTTGCACCACCTAGTGGTGGGGTTTGATTGCACTGGCGTGGAAGAAGGATTATCCAGGGGTCACAATTGAGTCAAACCTTAGCCCATGGCCCCCTTCTGCCACTAAGTGAAATTTCCTTCAATCCAATTTGTCCTAGATTTTCTTAGTTTTAAATGCTTTCACTATTCCCCTTAGTATTCCATTTGCAAGAGAGAAGACCTAAGATAGTTTATCTTTCTTCAGCCATAATTCACGTAAGTTCTAAGATCAAATGTACCTCTTCCAATAAATTAATGTCCTTTTTAAAATAGGAAGAACATTTTGTTTTTCATTTGTTCATGTAACATGGGTCCCACTGCCTGGACCACATTTATTGCCGCCCCTTGTTGCTACTAACAAGTTGGTATTGAGCTGTCTTCTTGAACCACTGCAGACCATTTACTACTGATTGACCCACAATAACTTTAGGGGAGGGAGTTCCAGGATTTTGACCCAGTGGCACTGAAGGAACGGCAATATGTTCCCAAGTCTGGAAATTGTGACTCCGTTACAAGACTATACAATTTTTTTTAAAACTTAGTTCTCTGGATTTATATGTTATATCTCTTGCCATACATCTTAATAACCTGTTTGTTTTTTTTTAAATCCTGCACACCCTGCAGCAAAGACTGCAGTGACCTGTCCCATTAAAATCCTAAGATCCCTTTCCAGCTCTCCATAACCCCTTCTGGCCAATTTCATAACTTTACACATTCCTGTATTAATTTACATCTGCTATGTCTCTTCTTACTAGCCAAGATCTTTTTGCAGTGATAGTCACTGTTTGCTATTTTGTCACATTTGCTATATTTCACTCCGATGGGATTTACCAGAGCCCAGTTACCTCTGTCAGTGAACTGGGGGAATTTTACAATTGTTTGAGCCAGTTCCTTCAGAACCTAGAGATGAAAGTTCTCAGAACTAACAGGCCTATCTACCGTGAACATTACTATTCTCCTCCATATGCTCCCTGGAGAATAGGGGTAAGCTCCTCAATATGCCCCCTGGAGAATAAGGGTAAAGTCCTCAAATATGCTCCCTGGAGAATAGGGGTAAGCTCCTCAATATATCCCCTGGAGAATAGGGGTAAAGTCCTCAAATATGCTCCCTGGAGAATAGGGATAAATTTCTCAATATGCCCCCTGGAGAATGTGGGGATTATGTGGCAGCTAGCATCTCATTGCCATAAACTGGGTTTCCTACCATCTGTCTCATCCTGGATCATTGCCGTCTGCTCCTTTTGGGTCTGGTGATTATAATTGGCAACAGGAATAAAGGATCCAACTCCAAGTGAACGTCTGACCCAGCTACTGCCATTTGCTCCTGTCAGCTGTACATTCAAGGAAGCAGCAGGAGCAATTCTTAAGGTTAACTCCATGGCCCTGCAATTCCCCACCGATCTCCCAGTCTCTGTGCCAAGCCCTTTGAAATTGTTGATTTCTCGAGCAATTAGGAGGGGTCATGAAATTTTCTTGGCAAGTAGGAACAAGGTGAATCCCAAAACTATAAATATTTCAGGAGAAAATGAGTAGACAGGGAACGGTAGGTCCACTCAAGGATAAAGGAAGAAATTTATGCATGTAGCTGGAAGAATTCATTGAGGAACTTAATGAGCGCTTTGCATCGGTATTCACCAAGGAGAAGGACATGGATGATGGGAAGGGGAAGGGTATATGTCGGGGGCTCTTCTGATTTGCTAAATATCCATTTGCCTCTTTTGATCCTGAGACCTTCAGAGTTTCTCCTTTCTGTTTATATTTCATATCTCCAGAACCTGCAGTACCTTGTTTTTATTTCAGCCTATGATTTTTGCAGCTGGTTACCAATATCTTGTTGGTATTCTTGGCTACCTATGTTCCTTATGATAGAAATTTCATCAGGAGCCTGTCATTTTATCAATAATGGTCCCCGACCGATGGAAATTAATCAGGTTTGGGTCAGACATAAAAGGACAGACAAAAATCCAGAACTTTTACCAGATCTAAAGAATGTTATTTACATTTACCCTATCGTAATTATCCTGCCATTGAATTGATGGATTGATGGTCAGTTGTATAAACTGGGCTTTAGTGAAAATTAAAAGGGGCTTAGTGAGTTTACTGAGGAATCTGAATTTAGTTTCACCTGAGTACGATCTTGTCCTCTAAGCAGGGTTGATAAAATCAAGCTTAAAATGCATCGAAAGCATTAATCAGATATCAGGCTTGAGCAACAGGTAAACATATACCACACTTTATCATTTTGTTAAAAAGAGACAGAGAAGTCACTTTTGCATTAAGTTTTCTACCTGACCATTCATTCCTCATGCGAGCAGATCTTCAATAGTCAAAAGTAGCCAATTGTTTACTGACAATTCAATGCAAAATTTGGATCTTGGAAAAAATCCATTTCTATTATATCCAAGTCAATATCCTTATGATTTATAGACTTTATCTGAAAGGAAATAATACTTTCTGCAGGCAAATAAAATCTGAGTTTTCATAGATTTCTGTTGAAACACTCAGTGAAGAAATATAATACTGTTTCCTTTGGATCTCTATGCTTCCCATTATTCAAAATGACTATTCGTATTATATATTACCTTTGCGTTGACCTTCTTCAGCAACTCCTCAAATTTCAGTAGACTGATCTTCTGTATGAATAGTATGGTAGCATTGACATCAGAGAAGCCCAAAGGTCTCGTGACAGCAAAACATTCGAAGATTGAGGCCAAATCGCTACTGGTTAAGTTTGCCAGCAAGTTACACTGAAAGAAAATAGATGGGAGTGTTCACAATTGTATTGTACTCGAAAAATTACAAAACAGTAAAAGTTTCATTAGGGGATAGTGGTGGCATTCTGTGAGAATTACAATTAGGCATAAACTGAGAATCTGTTCAGGGAAAGAAACAAACAGAGTCTTGGTTGTAGCATCCACATTTTGAGAATATCAAATTAAGGAAAATATACTTTGAAAGCTTTTAAAAGCTTTTGTTGGTGAAGGCCTGCATTAATGGTCGGGTCATGCTGCATGTAGGAGTGTTTTTCCAGAGTGTGGCAAGCAGCAGATGCCTCAAGAAAAACAAATATATGAAGGGGCTCCTCAAACAGATTTTGGATATATCTGCATGTACAAACCACCAATGTGCGCACTCCACACCAACTTTTTTTGCCTTTCCCAATCTGGCTTACAGTCACACATCTAAATCACATCATGTGTTTCACTTTTACATTCGTAGGAAACTGGTATAATGGACAAGGGTAGCATTTATTTCCAGTCTCTAATTGCTCTTCAGGAGATGAGATGTACTATTTCCCTGAACTGCTGCAGTCTGTGTGCTGTGTGTTGTATATTGTCATAGTGATTTTGTCCAACTGAATGGCTCACTGGCCATTGCAAAAAGCAGTTAAGATTCAAGCACAGACTGCTGCGATTCAGAAGTCACATTCAAACCTGACTATATCTTTTGCAAATGAAGTAAATTTGTTTTTTTTCAATTAATTCAGAAAATAGGGTGTCATTGGCTAGACAAGCATTTATTGCACATCCTTAAGAACAGCTGATTTCCTTCCTTACTGTCCAAGTGGGTTTTTACAACAATCAATGACAATCACATGATTGCCATTAGGCTGGATTTTAATTGAATTTGAATGGCACTATCTGACTTGGTGGGATTCAAACCCATGGCCCCTGAAATTACTCCGTGGAGGCCGGTATCCCATCACCAAATCACCCTTTATTTACCTGAGCACAGTGCATGGGCTCTAACCAGTTAGCTCAGAGCCAGTCCCTAGAGTTCAGGAAAATCCCTGAGACTCCTGTTTATATCTCTCAGTCAGGGCTCAGGTTAACTGCCCCAATCAGGGATCTCATACTCAATGAGATCCACCTGGCTTTTTTTTTGTCTATTCATTTTGTGGGATGTGGGCATCGCTGGCTGGCCAGCATTTATTGCCCATTCCTAGTTGCCCTTGAGAAGGTGGTGCTGAGCTGCCTTCTTGAACCGCTGCAGTCCTCCTGCTGTGGGTTGACCCACAATGCCCTTAGGGAGGGAATTCCAGGATTTTGACCCAGCGACAGTGAAGGAATAGCGATATATTTCCAAGTCAGGATGGTGAGTGACTTGGAGGGGAGCTTGGAGGTGGTGGTGTTCCCATATATCTGCTGCCCTTGTCCTTCTAGATGGAAGTGGTCGCGGGTTTGGAAGGTGTTGTCTGAGGATCTTTGGTGGATTTCTGCAGTGCATCTTGTAGATAGTACACACTGCTGCTACTGAGCGTCTGTGGTGGAGGGAGTGAATGTTTATGGATGTAGTGCCAATCAAGTGGGCTGCTTTGTCCTGGATGGTGTCAAGTTTCTTGAGTGTTGTTGGGGCTGCACCCATCCAGGCAAGTGGAGAGTATTCCATCACACTCCTGACTTGTGCCTTGTAGATGGTGGACAGGCTTTGAGGAGTCAGGAGGTGAGTTACTCACTGCAGTATTCCCAGCTTCTGGCCTGGTCTTGTAGCCACTGTGATAATGTGATGAGTCCAGTTGAGTTTCTGGTCAATGGTAACCCCCGGGATGTTGATAGTGGGGGATTCAGTGATGGTAATACCACTGAATGTCAAGGGGCCGTGGTTAGATTGTCTCTTATTGGTGACGGTCATAGCCTGGCATTTGTGTGGCACAAATGTCACTTACCACTTGTCAGCCCAAGCCTGGATATTGTCCAGATCTTGTTGCATGTGAACATGGACTGCTTCAGTATCTGAGGAGTCACGAATGGTGCTGAACATTGTGCAATCATTGGCAAACATCCCCACTTCTGACCTTATGATGGAGGGAAGGTCATTGATGAAGCAGCTGAAGATGGTTGGGCCTAGGACACTACCCTGAGGGACTCCTGCAGAGATGTCCTGGAGCCGAGATGATTGACCTCCCACAACAACAACCATCTTCCTGTATGTCCTGTGACCTCATGTCGATCACTACATCCCCAGGACATCGGCCTGGGGTTCTGCATTACTAGTCCAGTTATGTTACCATCCACCACCGTCTCCCCATTAGCAAACAAGATTGTTTTTCAATAAAAATCTGGTAGTTTCATGGTCACCATTACTAAGACCAGCTTTTTATTTTAATTTAAACACTACAGATGTCATAATTTGAATTCCTGTCTCTGGACCTTTAGCCTAGGCCTCTACATTACTGATGCAGTAACACAAACATTATGCTACCAAATTCCCCGCACAAATTGTGCTTCAAGCCAGTAATATTAGAGTCATCGGAGACTGCTGTGTACCTATCATTTAATAACAGGCTGAAGAGAAATGAATGCAATAGGCTCTTGAGAAAAGTTTAAAATGTGAAGTCACAGGATGTATATTTTAGAGAAATGGTTGCATGTGTGTAAAAGGAGTACAATAATTTTGTTATTTTGGCATTAGTTGGAATTTTGCTCAGCTATATTAATGATTTATCTCCCAAATTTAATCCTGGTTTCTCCTTCTTTGTCTCAGTATCAGTTCTTCTGTCTGATTAAAGTATTATATAAACATAAGTTATTCTTGTTGCTGAATTCACTTTTCACAATCAATAAGTTTCACTTTGGATGTTTTGTATTTCTTTATCATTTTTATTTATTTCTCGACAAAAGGTATGGAAGGGGTGAAGTCTTTTAGAAAGCCCACATACCTAATTAACATTTCTAAATGTTGTCAGATTTAATTACATTGCAATTGTCTGCCAGGTAATTACTGTCAGCTTCATTAATCCAGACCAAGTCATAAGATTACACATTCCTACCTTTCACTGGTATAGGCCATACCTTAGTACATGCATATTGTGAGACTGTAAAGCTACAGAAATCACTTAGGTTGCCAGAACGTAGTTTGGATTCCAGTGCCATGCTGTAAGGAAATAATTGTCTTAGATAATAATATGTGAATGCAAGATACAACTGTGTGTGTAGAATATACATGTGTGTGTACATATATAAAACAGTACATGGTTGAAGTAAGAAAAACTGTGGTTAAGTTTAATACACTGCTTTTGATGTTGTACTTTTCATGTTATAATTTTCCAATTTGTGATTCAAGGTTCATATGCTAATTGTAACCTGCATGTTGGTACTTTCTGGAGAATTTCTGAAGAAGGTTCCCGACCTGAAACGTCAGCTTTCCTGCTCCTCTGATGCTGCCTGGCCTGCTGTGTTCCTCCAGCTCCACACTTTGTTATCTCTGACTCCAGCATCTGCATGGGTTTCGTCCGGGTGCTCCGGTTTCCTCCCACAGTCCAAAGATGTGCAGGGTAGGGTGGATTGACCGTGCTAAATTGTCCAAAGTGTCCAGGGATGTTTCGGTTAGGTGGGTTAGACACGGGAAATGGGTCTGGGTGGATCTCTTCGGAGGGGCAGTGTGGACTTGTTGGCCTGAAGGGCCTGTTTCCACACTGTAGGGATTCTATGATCTGCGGTTCTTACTATCTCTTGGTACTGTTTTAAATTCATTCACAGGATGAGGGCATTGCTGGCTAGGAATTGGAATTCTGCAGTCATTAAGGTCAGATTGAGTCCAGAATGTGGCTAACTGGACTCGCTGGACAAAAATTCAAGGCTCAGCTTTAAATCAGGCAAGGGTCAACCAGTTTGTGTTGGGTGCTGGGCTACAACAAAGTCACAGGCCGAGGCCTGGAGAGTTTTACACTCCTGGGCTTCACTTAAACACTGAAGTCTGAAATCCCACCCAGGCCTGGGTAACATTGTCCATTCAGTGGGGAATGCCATTTTGGGCAGATGACTGTCACAGCCAAGTACCCAGACGAAAAGTGCTCTGCAGTCGGGTAACTGGACGCTGATTTCCATCAGTGATCAATGGACAGAGTTAGAGATGCGTATATAAAGCAAGACCCAGGATTTCCTTGGGAGCTGGAAGGAGCCAGCCTCTTGTGGCCAGAAAAGAAATTTAAAATAAAATCATAATTTGCCCTTTCTGTGCTGGGGCTCAACTGGCTTTTGATCCAGCCGTGAGCAGGTCTGGCCTGATATACAAGCCACCACCACATCCACTGGGGCAATTTTTTTTCCCAGTTCATTCGTGGGCATTGCTGGCTGGCCAGCATTTCTTACCCGTCCCTAGTTGCCCCTTGAGAAGGTGGTGGTGAGCTGCCTTCTCCAACCGCTGCAGTCCACCTGCTGTGGGTTGACCCACAATGCCATTAGGGAGGAGGAAATCTGTGACCAGGGCCAATAAAGCCACTGGAACCCAAGCTGTATGTTTAAAGTGCATCCCAACAGTACGAGGACTATTGTCCTTCCTCCTCACAATTTAAAAGTACAGTAGGTTAAGATAAAGTGGGTAACCTCCCTTCCAATTTCACCAGCAGTTAAAATTGTGGCCTGCCAGTCTAGCCCCAGCCTTTATATATAGTGATTGTGAAAGGAACTACATTGATGCGTCAGCACACTATCAAGGAGCAATATTGCCCTCATCATGATGGGGCACTGCAGCTATAACAACAATTAACATTATGACAGTCCATACTTTCACATACCTCTTGTTGCCTTCACATATTCGCTGTTCTGTAACAGGGAAAGTAAAGGGAAAACTATTAGTTACAAAATTCTCCAAATCCCTGAACCGAAACAGACTTTAAAAATCGTATGAATGTCGCTCCCACTTACCATCTGGGAAAAGGCCATTGCACTAAGAAGGGACAAGAAAATATTTTAATAATTTGTGACTGTAAGTTTAAATACATGAAGTAGAGAATTTCCCTGGAGCCCTTACAAGCTCTGGCTGTTACTTTGGGAAGCAGAAAAAGTGCCATTTTCCAGCATTCAGCCAATTTTCCATCAACTTACAGCTGTAAGAAACCCAGGGAAGTTTGAAGTGGAATTGTTTAAACCCTATAAAATTGGTGAACTAACTGACAAGTCCTGTCTTACCTCTTTGGTATTCACAGGTGTCACCAAACAGGCTGGAAAGAAAGATATCAGAAAAATGCTGTTACAAGATGTTTGCTGGAACTTTCTAGCTTTGCTACTCTTAAATACAACACGTCATATTGAGTTAGACGGTGGTGAAGCAGATTTACATTCCAATTATTTTCAGGTATGGGAGCAGCTCACCATCTCTAGCTCAATATAGTATTGACTAGACTGAAAGGCTCTTCTAACACAGTGATAGTGCCCCTACCTCTGGACCTAGAGACCCAGGTTCAAATCCCACTACTCCAGAGACATAACAAATTCAATAAGCAGGTCAATTACAAAACATCTATTCATGAGACTGACTTCCTTTGGTTGGACTGAAGGTAGGCTCCTGGAGATGTGGGGCAGGCATTTGTTCTGATGTGATGTTGGTCCTAGTATCTGTTGTTCACAGAAACCCACTGAGATTGTGCAACCACCTATACATAGCCCACATGAAGGTGCTCTTGTGGTGGAGTGGTAGTGTCCCTACCTATGAGTCAGAAGGCCTGGGTTCAAGTCTCACTGCTCCAGAGGTGTGTCGTAACAACACTGAACAGGTTGATTTAAAAATATCTACACCATTTAAGTGAGCAAATGGGGTCTTATGCAATGATTTGCACAGTTAAAAGGCCACTCTTTGACTTGGGGCTATCCAGCTGCCCAAAAGACCGACGTGCTACAAGATCAGACATGCTCACCTTCTTCCACTACTTTCTATACTTTGCATTGCTATCTAGTCCAGAACTATTGCTGAGGAATGGTTTTCCCACAGAGGGGTTAGTAATCCAAAGATGCTGAGGTAAATTATATGCAATAGCCTTTTGACTGTTTCCACAGACATCTGAGCCAAGTTCAGTTCTTTTTGTCCTTTTGTTAGGAGACCTGACTAGCATGTATATGGCCCAATTTCATGTGGAGAACAATGAAATGTGCTCGTAATTTTCCATCCAAGATACGTGTTAATAACTCATATTGTGTTGATCATCAACCAAGAGCAGTATCAGTGAAGGAAGTGACAGAACAGGTAAAATAGTTTTAAGTATATATATATATATATATAAAATTAAAAATTCACTGGAATCTAATCTGAGAATTTGATCATAAATGGCTCTTGGTTTCAGAACGCATATATATTAAAACTATCATCAATAGGTCAGAACCTCTTTACTGTAGAATACCATTTACACTATTGGAAAAGTAATTGTGGTACAAACGATTTACGTTATTCTAGGGTTATAAAAAACTTGTTACCTCTAGCTATTTTCCAGTTATTGCTACATTACACCTTCTGACACAGTTTGCTAACAAAATAAACCTACCGATTGTGAGGCTCACAAGGACAGTCCAAGGGCTAGACCATTCAAAAACCATCTTCAGCTGCATTGTTGAGAAATGATCGTCCTTTCCAAATCAAATGCAGCTGTCCATCTGCAGAAAGAGTTATTTACAGCTTCTGTTTTGCAAATATTGTGGAGCAATACAAGGACAGTCATGATAATACCCAAATTAAAGCCTGTTTAAAAATGTAAGGGACCTAGGGCTTTTCTCTCAATACATTCTACAGAATGGGATAAGGAAATTATTGCTTGAACAGAATTAAATCACAACAACAATTTGTATTTACATAGCACCTAAAAAATTGTAAACATCCTCATGAAGGTTAAACGTAAGAATCCTGTTTAAGTGATTATTCAAAAACAAATCATGGTTGAATTGAAAACCTACACCAATCTAAAATGTGTAACAGTGGTGTCACTTGACTCTTCAGTTCTGGGGAGGCAATGGCCTAGTGGTATTATCACTGGATTGTTAATCCAGAGACACAGACAATGTTCTGGGGACCCGGGTTCAAATCCGACCATGGCAGATCGTGGAATTTGAATTCAATAAAATATCTGGAATTAAGAATCTAATGATGACCATGAAGCCATTGTCGATTGTTGGGAAAAACCCATCTGGTTCACTAATGTCCTTTAGAGAACGCAACTGCTATCCTTAGCTGGTCTGGTCAACATGTGACTCACAGCAATGTGGTTGACTCTTAACTGCCCTCTGGGCAATTAGGGATGGGCAATAAATGGTGCCTGGCCAACAAAGCCCTCATCCCATGAATAAATAAAGAAAAAGAAAGATAAAATACAAATACATGTCTCTGCTTGCTGCTACGTTTTGAAGCAGAGCCTTCTTACAGCTCCTTGACAATGCGCCTTATTGTGATGTCCTGTTCGGAATTAGAACAATTATGCTACTTGATTAATTTCCAAAAGATAAATATTTGTCTTGGACCTCAACATGTAAAGGTGGAGAAATTTGAGGTTAGACACTTTAGCAGGAAGAGTAGAGGAGCTGAATATTATTTGAATGGAGAAAGACTGCAGAAAGTTACAGCATGGAGGGTTTTGGGAGTCCTCATCCACGAATCACAAAAAGCTAACATACAGGTTCTGCAAAATGTTGGCCTTTATTTCAAAGGGAATTGATTATAAAAACAGGGAGATTTTGCTAAAACTATACAGGGCAGTATTCAGACCATAGCTAGAATACTGTGAGCAGCTTTGGGTTCCTTATAGCATTAGACTTAGCCCAGAAAATGGTCACGAGGTTGATCCTCACTAGGAAGTGCTGTCTTCTGAGGAGAAATTGAGATGGTTGGGCCTATACTCATTGGATATAGAAGAATGAGAACCAACTTTACTGAAACATACAAAATTCTTGGAGGTCTTGACAGGGTAGATGCGGAAAAGTTGTTTACTTTTTGTGAGAGAATTTAGGACCACGGGGCATAATTTCAGAATAAAGGGTTGCATGTTTAAGGGACAGATGAGGCAGAATTCCTTCTCTCAGAGGGTTGTGAATCTGTGGAACAATGGCGTAGATTCGATGGGCTGAATGGCCTACAGATACTTCTGCTTCTATGTCTTATGGTGCTATGGTCTTAACAGATCTAAATATAAAACAGACAATCAATGCAATACTGCATCTTGAGCAGCATTGCTTATGTCCCGTTACACAGTAGATTCTGTTGAGGCTGAAGACAAGCTTCTAATCTAAAAGTTTACCATTTTCAAATAGACCAGTTTCTGTACAGCGATTATTTTCCTGATTTATTATAATCCTGAACCACACTTTGCAAGGATATAAATGTTGCAGCCGACATGATGTTAATGAATGAACATGATGCACCAGTTCCACACAGAGAAGCTCTGTCTGGCAGGCACTAAAAGAGGCAGGGGTCCCAATTTTAGTTTTGCTTGACTACCTGTATTTTTTTTTTGCAGTGGTTTTAGAAACAAGTGTGTTCTCACCACACCTACGATGGCCTTATTATCAATGGTAAAACATATCTAAGGTATACTGTCAATTGGAAATTCACTTATAGAATTTTACAGTACAGAAGGAGGCCATTTGACTCAGCATATCTGTACTGGCTCCTTAAAGAGCAACCCAGCTATTCCCATTCGCCAGCCCTTTCTGTAGCCCTTAACTTCATCACTTTCAAATATCTATCCTACTCTCATTTGAAACATCCTATGGAATCCTCCTCCCCAACGCTTCCAGGCAGCGCATTCCAAATCCTAACAACTCTCTGAGCAAAGAAATTTCTCCCCATCTCACTGCTAGCTCTCTTGTTGACAATATTGATATTATAACATCTAGTTACTGACATATCAACTACTGAAAATAGACTATCCTCCTTTATGCCGTCAATATTGTTTATAATTTTGAACACCTCAACAAGGTCATCTCTTAATCTTCTCTGCTCCAAGGAGAATAAGCCCAGTTTCTTTAATCTTTCCTTGTATCTAAAATACCTCATTCCTGGTATCATCCTGGTAAATCTCCTTTTGAACTCTCTCCAGGGGTTTAATGTCCTTCCTTAAATAAGGTACCCAGAACTGAACACAACACTCCAAATGTGGTCTGATCAATGATTTGTAGAGGTGTACCTTGCTTTTATACTCTGCCTCTATTTTTAAACCCAAGGATCCCATAAACCACTTTAATAATGTTTCAACTTGCCTGGCCACCTTCAGAGAATCATGCACATGAGCCCTGAGGTCCCTCTGCTCCTGTATTCCCCTCAAAGTTGTACCATTGAGCCTGCATTGTCTCTCTGTACTTCTTCTACCAAAATGCGTTACCTCACATTTCTCTGCATTAAAATTCATCTGCTAGGTGACTGCCCATTTGGCCAACTTGTCAGTGTCCCTCTGCAGTCACTCAGCATCATTCCCACAATCCACTATTCTCCCTAACTTAGTAGCATCTGCAAATTTAGAGATTCCACCCTCAATACCCATCGCCAAATCATATATAAATCAGAAAAAGCAAGGGGACTAAAACTGATCACTGAGAAACACCCCTCTTAATTTGTCTCCAATCTGAGAAATGCCCATCTATACCCACCCTGCTTCAAACTTTTACGCACCTTCTAATCCATGCTGCCAAGGACCCTTCAATCCCAAACATTTTTAATTTACTGATCAACTTGCCATGTGGCACTATATCAGATGTTTCCTGAAAGTACAAATTTACAACATTCACAACATTAGCCTCATCCGCTGCCTGTGTCACCTCATCAAAGAACACAATTAAATTTGTCAAACATGACATGTCCTTGACAAAGCCATGTTGACTGTTCAGTATTAACTTAGTTTTCTCTAGGTGTATATTTATCTTATCCCATATTATGGCTTCCATCAGTTTTCCCCACTATTGATGTCAAGTAGTTTCCTGGGTTATCCTTTGCCCCTTTCTTAAACAATGGTGTCACATTTACAATCTTCCAGTTCCCCAGGACTGATCCCGTGTTCAGAGAGACCTGGAGAATTTCTATTAATGGCTCCACAATTTGCCACCCGAATTCTCTCAGCGATCTAGGATGCATCCCCATCCAGGCCTGATGACTTCTCTAACTGCAGTGCTACCCAGCTTTTTAGCACGTCATCTTTATCCATCACTATACTGCTCAGTTGCTCAACACCCACATTTTCAACTCGGCCATTGTCACCATTTTGTAACTTGGCAAAGACGGAAGCAAGATATTCATTTCGTCTCTCTGCGATAGCCTTTGCTTCAGTGAGCAGCATACCCTGCCTGCTCCTTATGGGCCCCACTCTATCCTTCGCTAATCTCTTCCTGTTAATATATTTGAAGAGCATTTTACTCTTTGTTGTAGTGCAACCTTCCATCTTTTCCACATGTCTCTTCTTAACCTTCCTCATTCCAGCCTTTTAGCCTCTCTCCTGTATTTGAGATACTCTTCCTGATTTCTATTGCTATTATTATTCTGGTATGCATCATATGTCTCTTTTCTCTTCCTTACTTTCTCATCAATATCCTTAGTCATCCAGGATACTTGAGCTCTAGAAATGTTTGCAACATGTGAAGCATATCCCAATCAGGATACCTTGGGCAAAAGTACTAATGGGACTAAAAACTGACAAGTCGACTGGACCTGATGGAGTGCAGCCCAGGAACCTTAACAGAACTGGCTGCAGAGATAATAGACACAATGATTGTAATCTTCCAAAATTCCTTGGATTCTAGAAAACTCTTAGTAAAATGGAAAAATGTAAAGGTAACATCTCTATTCAAGAAAGGACTGAGACAAGAGCTAAAGATTATAAGCCAGTTAGCCTAACATTTGGCATTGGGAATATTCTGGAATCCATTATTGAGGAAGTGTAAGGGGATATTTAGAAAATCGTAATACAATCTTGCAGAGATAATGTGTTTTTTTGTAAGGGTTATCATGTTCGAAAGGTTACCAGTGTTCTATGGGAATGTAGTAAGCAAGATGGGGAAAGGGGAACCAGTAGACGGATGGTGTATTTGGATTTTCAAAGGCATTGTTGAGGTGCCACATAATTATTTATTGCATCAGAAAACAGATTGTGTTAGAGATAATCGAGTAGCATGAATAGGGTACTTTGAACAAAAGTAGAAGCCTCTTCTTTTAATCAAATATTGTCTTAAAATTCTCCGTTAACTCAGTTGGACCACATTGCCCATCATATTTTTAGCGTTAAGAAATATTATGAATTATAAATTAATTTTCAAATGTTAGTCATTTTCCCAACCATCATATCTTTTAAATGTTGCACCTATTTTCCCAACCATCATATCTTTTGTAGTTTTCTAATCGACCTTAGACACATTACCCCTGATAATTACATGATTTATTTTGTTATGACATAAGATTTGGATTTAATCTAATTATTGTCAATTTCAATGTAAAATGAAATTATGTTACGATCAGTCTTCCCCATAGGCACCATCATTAATTATTAATTTATTTAGTTATGAATTAACCCTGTCTCACTGGATAGTACTAGATTTAGAAGCAACATTAGACCTGTTCCCTAAATGGTTCTTTGATATTGTGATCTAGAAAACCATTTTGAATACTCTTCATTTCCTCATCA